TTGTAGCTGCCTTACCTCATAGCACCACTGCCACTGGAAAGGCATAGTGACCTTGAGCAGAATGGCTATGATCCTCGTAAAGTAGATGTAACACACAATCTAAAAAAAAAAAGAGAACAGGATGTCAGAAATCACACAAAACTGGCAGCTGGTTGCTTTGATCAATGTGGATTTTTCAATCATTTAGCATCTTAGACAAGGTTTGTAAAACTTGCTTTGTGACCAAGTGTAATGACATATATTATTGGAGATGTCACGCAGTGTGTGGTTGTTTGCAAAGCTTTTGTTCTGGCTCTGCAGCAGTGACTGTGCTGAATGAGAAGCACGGGGTGGCCTTGCCAAACACCGTGACTCAGTATAATTTACTGTAAGAATAATGCTTGATGCCAGATAATAAAAACAATTAAGCAACATCACCACAAACTTCAGTCTTTAATGTTGAGTTGCAATCTGAGGGGATTAAGCTGTCAAACTATATTGTGGTCTACAATTTCAATTTCACTGGCGATCCAGTAATCGTCAGATCTTTGTAGGTGGGTGGGTGGGGGGGCGATGACAGAACTGAAATACTGCTGAGCTGCATTTGCTCTTACCATCACATAATAATGCCGGAAGAGCTTGAGCTTCTCCAAATTCATGGCAGCTGAAAGAGACGTTAACCAAATTTAAAAACAAATAAATGACCAACTCTCCAAAAAAATAAGCCTGAAGGTTTTAAAGCTGTAACTGATCAGGATTCTCACCTTTGCCATCGGTGCTTGAAGCCTCTTGTAGATGACGGATAGACCTAAAAACAACAATTTTTTGTTTAAGAATACATAATCACTAGAGCTAAAACAATTAATTGATTAGTGGATCGTCAGAAAATCATTATTCTAAAAATTGAATAGTCATTAAATTACTTTACTCAAAATGCCAAATACTCTGGTTTGAGTTTCCCAGCTGTGAAGATTTTGCTGCTTATCTGTGTTTAATGTCACTGCAAACTGAATATCTGTGGGAATACGATTCCACTTTTCTGACATTTTATAGATAAAATGACTAATTGATTAATCCTGAAAATAATCGTCAGATTAATCAATAATGAACATAATTGTAAGTCGCAGCCATACTGTGCAAACACAAAATGTTATTTATCATCATGCATAAACTTGCACGCATGGTCAGTGTAACACTTATTATTCATCATTTACTTATGTTGGAATTTATACCTGGAAATTTTGGAGTCAAATTGAAAATTTCAGTAGTTTTCATTACTATTCATGAGGCGAGTCGGCTGAGAGGACAAAAAGCTAAAACTACAGTCAGACCGAAATGTGCCAGTCAAAATTTAATTTGTCCTTACACTAACTCAAACAAAGCAACATCCTTCCTCCTCTGCTGCTTGTATTATTTCAGCATCCAGGTATAAAACAAGAACATAAACAAACAATATTTTCTGAATAAGAGGGTAATCCCAGCCCCTCTCTCAAACTGGCCAGACATCGATTTCATATGTTAAACTTGAATAAGATTCTGCACATAGCGAAGGAGGTGGGCATCAATTTGTGACCACAAGTGAATGTGTCTTGCCTCATGTCACATAGAAATGAATGGGAAGTAGAGCTGCACAATTAATCCAAACCTAATGGAAATCGCAATATCCAAATTGCCAGAGCTGCAATTTTTTTTGTTGATAAAAGGTAAAATGTGTCACAATATACCATAAATGAAGCATTGTGGTGCTACAGATGCCCCAGCCTACAAATCATATTCTCCAGAGGTAAGGGAACATGCTTTTTTGGTACAAACCCCAGCAAAAATCACATCATTTAAATTTTTTTCCGTGAAAATAAAATCCAAAAATTTTCACTCCACCTGAAATTGTGACTCATATCGCAATTGCAACATCTGCCAAAATAATCACAAACGCAATGGCTCGATTTGACTCTAATTGGCTGGTGGTGCTACTCACACAGCCCATCATCATGCCTGCAGCCTAGAATTATTCTTTGTCTCATGGCAATCAACCACTTTCTTACTGCTGTTAGTAAGTTAAATTCATTTTTTTCTACAAAATGCTTTGAAAATGGGGCTTTTCAGGTACCAGACAGCACTCAAAGTGCTTTGTTTTGCCATACACATTCTGTTATCTCAAGTAGCCGTAGTGGAAAACTAAATGGAACAGTCGAACTAGATAGACCACACACACTGACCAGACAACAGGGAAAAGGATGGCTCCGCAGCAGATGAGGTCGACCAGAAAGAGGATCTCCTTCCACAGATAGTATTCACTGGAGCCTTCCTCTGTTGACTCGATGATGATGTAGGCAACATTAGCCAGGACCTGGAGGGTGACAGGTGAGCGGGTCGCCAACAGTAATCCACTGAGTGTAAACAATCACACACAACCACTGTTTCTGAAGCACAGACACACACACACACACACACACACACACACACACACACACACACACACACACACACACACACACACACACACCTGCAGGGGGATGACGATCATGAAGATCTTCTTTTCCTTGTCAGACAGGATGTATTTAACGAAAGCCCAGCCGGTGCCGATCAGTGCCAGTGTGATGAACAGGAGAGCGCCTTTGAGCCTGGGGAGCGCATCAACACAAACTCAGGTATAAATCCAAGTAAAACAGATTACACTTCATATCCTGGAGGAATTGCACTTACAGGTGTGTGATGTAATACATGACAGCCCAGCCTTCAATAGTATGCCCCTTCGTGTTGATGAAGTGATAGTTGATCTGAGAGACACAAAGAGAGAGGTTTCATAAACAACCAACATTACATGAGACAGAAGAGAGGATGTGGCGATGGTGCACTTACACTATGGAAAACCAATGACGTGGACTTGGTGAAGGCCAGCGCAGCCATCAGCCAGTGGATCTTAAACACACTGTACCTGCAAACGAGCGCATAGGGAAAGATGTTCAAATATTTCATACGCCAATGAATCTGTATTACACAGGTAACATAAAAGATGTCTAATGCTGTGATTTGTGTCGTTGCTCTGCGCGGCGCTCCAATTTGCTCAGCCCTTCCTTTTCCCTTCAGTGCCCTTTCAGAGCTGCTCTGTGTGTGTGTGTGTGTGTGTGTGTGTGTGTGTGTGTGTGTGTGTGTGTGTGTGTGTGTGTGTGTGTATGAATTCTGTGTGAAACACTGTGCCATTATAATACCAGGTGCAAGTGCGCTTGGCTTTTTAGGGGAATGAGAGATAGCACTCTGATTGGTTCATTGCATGTTATGCCCAAAACACCATGATTAATCACGAGTGAAAGTGGCACCCCACAGTAATGTCTGTAAACTAAAACCAAAAAACAAGAAGAGTTACTAGTGTTGTCTTTACTTTACTGCAGAGGCTTAATGCTGTGCATCAGTTGGTTGGAAGGTCGCTCCACCACTTTGGTCCATACTGATTTATCTATCTCAGCAGCTGTTGGATTGGAAACTGATGGCACAGACTGGGTGGATGTTTGGTACAGACATTCCTGTTCCTGTTAAGCTGAACTGTAATAACTTTGGTAATCGTCTAACTTTTCATCCAGAACCATCATCAAGTCAAAATTTTAATTTGTCTGCAAAACTAATGACAACCCCATCAGCCTCAGCTGTGCTCAAATATTAGCATGCTAATACTGCAGTTAAAAAAAGATGTCTTGGTCAACACACTTCTATCCTCGTAGTTTTAGGTGAGCACATCTGTTGATTTTGTCTTCCTCTTCTCTTCTCTTCCTAACCACAACCTTTTGCACCACAGCCGAGTATTCTGCACATATTTCTAATGCATAGATGTTCTCTAAATACAAAGACAGTGAACTTCAAGTTTATTTTATCTGCCCACCGCCACTCTGAACAACTTCACAGTGGCTCCATGGCAGTTAAATGCTCTGTCCTTTTCAATCCACTTTTCCAGTCAGGGGCATGTGTGGTTTACAAACTGGAAAATGATACATAATTAAATGCAGGTCTAACACACCAAAGAAACTGAGGTAGCGTTAGCCAAATGAAGCACATTGTGCAGCACTAGAATGCTCACACATGCACACACGGATGTAAACGCTACAGCTGTGCTGCATTTAGCCATGAACCTGTAGGTGAAAGGCAGCATGAAAAAGCAACAAGCGTCTCAATAGAGTTTGTCTGGCACATCTATACTAGCCCACTCTCCTTTCCCAGTGTCACAATGTGAAGCATTGTGACAATGCTTCACATTGTGACACTGTGACAGTTACAGCAAATGGCTACAGCCACGTGGTTCCACCTAATCAGCCAATCAGAGGGCAGTAGGAAGATTTGCGGAGCAGTTGTGTCTGATTTTTCTGTTTCCTGTTTAGTCAGTCACATGGTAGGGCCACATTATACCTGCTAAACAGCAGCATGTTAGCATGTTAATATGCTGCTGTTGGCATTTAGCTCAAAGCAACATTGTGCCTAAGTGTAGCCTCACAGAGGTGCTAGCATGGCTGTAGGCTCTTGAAGGTCAAGGAACTTGTAGGAAACAAGTAGGTCCTGATTTAATGTGGATGCATTGAAAACTTTACAGGATATGCTAAAACATGACTCTGCAAATAGTTGTTCCGCACACTACTGAGTGATTTGGCATCTTTAAATGAGGAAGCTGTACGTTTCTGTTTCACAGTACAGTGAGCATTCATGTCAGTGTGTCTGCATGTGTGTGTACCTGTGCTTCATGAGTGTGTACACCCAGACCATGGCAGCAAAGAAGAAGACTCCAGCCATGCAAATGTAAAGGCGGGACAGAGGAATTTCTGCTGCTGACAGGTAGCCACCTGGATTCCTCTCTGTCACCTCCACCTGCAGACAACACACTCAAGTTAACCAATGCACACACCTGAGCATACACACACTAACACAAACACAAGCACACTCAACTTACAGTGAAGGAGTAGGGCAGTTTGACTCCAGGCCCCCTGTTCTTACAGTAGTGGAACTTGAGGCTGTACAGACCCTGCGCCAGCAAGCCCACCACCATGTGGAACTGCAGGAGGAGGGACAGAGAATTTAACACAACAACCAAATTAAATATTATTGCTCCACGTTACATATAATGGTTAAGGAAGGCGTACTCACACTGAAGTTGTAGGAGTCGTTAATTTTGTCCAGAGCTAAAGTCATTTTCTTGGTCTTCTCCAGCTGAAAGCAAGTACAGATTAGAAACTGATTTCCTGAATAGATCACACAGACACAAACTGACACAGAAACACTTCTTACATAGATTTTATTTTCCTCCACTTTTTTAGCTTCTACTGGTACTTTTGGAACATTTGCGTCAGCATCTTTCTTCTCAGTTACAGGCTCTGGATTCTTTGTTTTCTGATTCATCTCATTGTGTGGCACGTCTATGTTCGTGTTTGGTTTATTCTCCTCAGGAGCCTCCCTGGTTTTCCTCTGACCTACAGGACACACAAAGGTCAAGTACAGTCTCTTTAAAATGATCTGTCATTCATTCTGCTGCTTAAATATGGCTGAAAAAAGGAAATAAAACACTGAATGATTTTGTAAGAGGTGTGAAGTGTGATCAACACAGACCTTTAGGTGCTTCAGCCTTTGGCTTTGCAATCAAGATGTTATCCTTCGCACTGATAGCGTTCATGGTGACACTACACAAACACACCACACACATTATACAGTCAACTTTCACGATAGTTTATAATGGCACAGTAATACACACTTCTTAACACTGGTGCTGAAACATACACACCTGAGGTTGTTGACATCGATAAGAAAAAGAATGAGAGGCTCGTCATTGGTGGACTCTTTCAGAGTGAGCGGGCACACTTCTGTCTCCTCCGCCTGTAGAAAAAAGAATTTAAAAAATCACAGATGAATAGTCACATTTGAACAACACAGTGCACATCTCATCACCAACCCTACACTGTAGTATCAATGATCTGATGCATCAGTATCTTAGGACACATGACAAAAGTTTTCCTTGAAAGAATAGTAGCATGACAATTAGTCAATTATGAATTAGTCCTGCAGAAATATTTATGATTGAATGTACTCACCGTGTAGGACAAGACCCCGTTCACACGTGACCTGGAGAGGCTGAAACCAACCTAAACACAGTATCATAAATGCGTTCAGTCAATGGGTCGAAAAACACATGATTTCCAGTATTTATATCTATATATATATCATGAATCTGGCTCCACCTGAGAGCTCCCAATGTTTGAAACCAACTTATGGTGGCCAAAGTAAAATCACGGGTCAAACCTCTACAGGTGAAACCATTCATCCCACCTGCTAGAATGCAAATTAGTTTACTAATTTGTGATACCTCTGTTTAGTTTGCATGACATTTCAATGATGCTGGGAAACATTCCTCTAATCCACGAGCCACTAATTGATCACACTGACCAATCATTAGCGCTCTGCATCTCTGCATACTCCACAACTACATGCACATTTTCAAGATCTATTAAACTGCATATTCACTAGCTAATACAAAACTACCACACATAATAAGTTCCTGAGGTATTATTGAAAGGATAAAATGGTTGTTACTCGTGTTGTATTTTCCTTATTGTCAACAATTCCCACTAAATGACCAACACCAACAATACCTAAGTATTAGTATTAACATTAGTCCATATCTCAATACTTTCCAACTTCCCTAACCTGGTTCACTGGTCTCTACTGGCTCCTAAAACATAGCTTCTCACTGTAATTGAACTAGTGAGTATATTATGTCAGCTGGTGTGGGACTGAGAAAAGTTAAACTACACTGCCTATGTTCATTATAATAAAGAAACATGTCACTGAGTGCAAGGGTGTTTTAACCACTTAGGGGAATAAATTATATCATTATATTATAATACTAATAATATTAATATGAATAATAATGGAAATAGAAAATTGACATAGAATGGACATAAAAACAGGGAGAGAACGCCATAATCCATAATTAAGGTTAAAATAAGATGGAAAATAGAACTCACTTGATAATAATAATAAAAATCAGATATCATTTTGAAAACAGAATACATAATATACAATGCATAACATAAGATGGAACTAAAACCCAATGAATATTAATAATAAAATAAAGTTAAAAAATACAATACATAGAATGCATAAAATCAAGTTAGACACAACATTTTAAAAGGAGTGCAGCAGCGCATAAGTGTGAAGCAAAGTACAATTTGTTAAGCTTTCATCTAAAAATATTTAGCATGCTGATTTAGCTGACATAAAGTGGTTAATTCACTTATAGATTTTAAACACTGAGGTTATTCTGGAGTTGTGGCACTGGACTGCATTATATTCAAAAGGTGTTTCTTATATTGTAAAGTAAATGGAAGGGACAAAAAATGGAAAGACCTCCCAATATAATGTAGTCCAGTAGAACACTACCTTTAGCTATGACCTGAGTAATAAAGCCATACTAGTGATTAAATGTCTTTTCATATCTTTTATGACAGTGTCAACAACAACAACAACTGATCATTACAAAGCTTGTAAAGACAGATTGTATGGCAGAGCTGTTATAATGAATTGTAATGGATCGTACAGGTGCAACTAATAAAGTGGCCACTGAGTAAATGCATCTCAGTTTGCACTTCTTTCTTTTCATCTTTTCAATAATAACCATTTTGAAGAACATGATTCTGATTGTTGAAAACTTCAGTAGTCGCTATATTTCAGGAGTACAGTTGTATGCATTTTATTGATTTTAGAATTGAAAAGAAGTAAATGCTACTCCTGCAGCAAGCAGACATGAAAATTCTCCAAATGTTAATGCACTGTTACTTTACCCACTCCTCTTAAATATCACCTCAAGATCTGAGACATTTTTGAAGCCATCTTGCACACAGTGCATGTTTAAGATCTACCTACAGATTTTCAATGATGTTTCAGTCAGAGGACTGAGAGGGCTGTTCCAAAAGCTTCAACTTGCGATTCTTGAAGTAGTTAATGGTGGATTTAGAAACAAACTTCAGATTCTTGACTGACTGCAGGACATTTGCATCCAGAATTTGCTTATATCTACTGGAACCCATTCTTCCCTCCCCATTCTGTAAAATGTTTCCTGTGCCACTGGCTGCAATACAATCCCAAAGCAGAATATTTCCATCCCCATGCTTAATAATTGGCTAAGAGGAGGATGCTTTTCAAGTAGGATGCCCAAACTTTTGTTTGTTTTTATTTTTTAAATTAATGTAATAAAAAGTAACAGTACATTAACATTTGAACATTTTATTGCTGCAGTGCATTTATTTCATTTCACTTCAAAAAAAAAAAAAAAAAAAATCAACAAAATATGTCAGTTACACTTTGTCTTTTGGTAAGCAAATGTACACACAACTCTCACACAGGCACACGCACAAAAAAAAACACTTCTTTTTTTTTTATTTACCGGGTGAGTGCTGTAGTTCACCGACTGATCACTTTGGAAGCGCAGAGAAGTCAGGTTGACATCCAGAGTCCCATTAGCAAAGAAACCAAAATTGTTGAGGTCGACGGCAAACCGAGTTTCATTCTGTGAGGACAGAAGAGCAAATTTAAAAGGAAGAGATTAGCAGCTGTGGCAACCTCTTTAGTAACAGCTTCAGTTCACAAATACACTCCTTGTCATCCTCACTACTTGCGCTTATTATGACTTTAATTCGCAACAAGTTTTACACTGTCACAGCAGGACACCGCGTTTGGATCGCCCTCTGTCACTAAAGCTAATTAAAGAACACTGGCCGGCTAATAAAACGACTCCAAACAGCTTAACACTCTACGTTAGCTCATAAGCTAGCACCAGTCTAGCTTGAGAGATACTCGCCGTACCTCCAGGGTGAGCTTGTGTATCCTTGCTTTGCACCCAGTCAGCACCAGTAGGAGTAAATACCCAGCCACAACACAGCCTCTCTGTGCCACAGCCATCACCGGGCAGTAACCAACCTGCTAACGGTAACTAACTGCTAATGTTAGCGCGCGACAATCCTGCCAGATGGCTGAAGAGCGAGCTAGATAGCAGTCTTAACAGTATGCAAGCTGAGCTAATTTTTAAATTCACTGTATCGGCTCGTATGATACGTCGTTTGTTATCAAATCATAACCATTAATGTTATGTTTTCCGATTATTATGTGCTTTCATCGCGCAAGGTACCAGCTAGCTTGTAGATGGCAAAATTTCGCTTCCTGGTCTTGAATCAAGAACAAAACATTAAGCAAGGTGAGGACAGAAACGTCACCCGCTGCGGGCCTACGTCCATTACCCGCGACAGATTTAATTCCAGAGTCTATGCCGTACAGCAGAAGCTAGTAGAATAGAAGAGAGTGAGTTATAAAAGTGAGAAGTGAGTTATAAAAGCACTCCACATGAATAGTCCGTGGTCGTGTGTTATTTGACGGTTAAACAATCTAGTTTTTTTTTTTTTTACTTCTAACTTCCTGACTACACCTTGTGCAAGTTGTCCTAGATTTGGTCACATGGTTCGTAAGCTTCCGGCTGAAAGAGTTCATGTGACCGACTCTCCACGTCGTATGGAATCTGTCAGCAGACATCAAACATGTTTGACACGTGGAAGTTAAGTTATTGTTTATCGATTTATGAATTTATTTTCCATGAAAGAAAGATACTGACAAAAGCTGTGCTTTTTATTTTGTATTCAGCACCTCATCTGGATAAGGCACCATTTATAAAGGGCTGTAATTTTAATGTATTCCTTAATGGTTAATAAATCAGTTATCTTAATAATACTTACTAATAGTCATAATCTGTTAATAAGAGCAGTTGTTTGGGTGCCAGACTGGGGGAAATCCTCCCTCAACCCAGCGCTTTAGCCACGGTCGAATCAACCTAATACATGGTCCCAGAGCAAAAACTTCTTTTTAGGCCCCTATTGACCTCCAGCATACATGGCAGTATCCTTATTTCTACAGGCACCTAAAGACCAACTTTTAATCAAGCAGTACACTTAAAGCATGTCTCAAGGTAAGATTTGGTGTGTTTAGTTTTGGTTTTATTTTTGTGATAAAATTATTAAAATCTTTATTTGTGACACGCTAAAATGTAACAGTAAGACAAGTCAAAAGTACTGACTCAGTAATGTCAGTTATAAAACAATGTATATCTATTGTTTGCTAACCTTAGCTGCTATAAACTACTGGTCATACCAAGGGTGTTATTTATTGCTAATGAGAGATTATGTTATTTCCTCTTTTAGATGTTACATAGTCTCACTTTAAATATAGCCTTTTAAATGTCTGCAGAAATCAATCAACCTTATCAAGAAACCCTTCCAGTGGACTATAGGCTATTCAGGTTGGAACATACTGTATATACAAAATCAAGTTAGCTTAGAATTAGGAGTGAAACCAGAAGATGAGGAGGAGGAGGATGTAGGAAGGGGATTTTGTGCAACTGTCATTCAGATGATGAAAGATAGAAAAAGATAAATCAAAAGTGAATCACCATCATGTCTCTTATAATAAAGAAAATTAATTCACATGTAATTACTTGATTATGTCTAATTCTTTCCTTTCCCTTTCTAATTTTATACATGTATTTATGATTATTGTCTGCTGATAAATAACTGATGAACATCTGAAACTGTTTCAGAAGGAAAATCCCTCCAAAGGTTAAATAACCATGTCATAAAAATGGGAAGAAAACAACATCCAGCTTCACATTTACTTCTTCCTGATTATTGAACTGGACTGATTTGATATAGACAGCTCTCATCAATGAAATGAGAACTGGCTGTTGGATACAGTAACACAGAAGCTTTATGGTCCACTGGGGAGGTCACATCATTGTGACCCTATAGTGCCACCTGCTGGCACCACGTGGAGTTGACAACCACCTGCTTTAATCCCAGGATCAACACTTTTAAATGGCCCTCTGTCACAGAATTAGTTTTATTAATAACTGTTGAATTTGAAGAAGTGAGCCAGTGTTAACATAACTGGTATCACCTGCACCTTTCCTAAACACATTTCTTTAAAGTAGTTGTGGCAGTTCAACGTAGTCACACTTTGTAACTGTCTATATAGTAGTTTTCATTATTACTGCTAGAGTATGTGTTTCTCGTGCAGGACTGACTATAATCTTTATACAGTTTTTATTCTAAGTCCTCGTAGTATATTGTGTCATGTTAAAAAAAAAGTACAGGCCACGCTGCTTGTTTTTTTGTTTATTTAGCAGGGTAACAAATCACGCTTTGTTGATAGTTATATTCCATGATCCAGCAGTGGAACCACTGACTGTCGGGGCGATGACCACACCTCCCTGCTGAGCAGATATTGTGGCCGGAGCAACAGCAGGTGCCGAAGCAGAGGAGGAGGTGGAGGATGCAGCTGTTTTTCCTCCTGCAGATGAAAAGATACAGATACAGAGAGTCAGTACAGACACATGTAAACAAAGTGTGGAAAGAATCCGGTTTTGGCTACTTTGATTCACAGGTGAGTTTAAGAAACTCACCATCCACTGCACCTGTGTGTGTGTTCTTTAACTTCTGTGCAGTATTGTTCATGTTCATCTTCCTCAGGATCTCAATAGTGAGGTTCACAGCCAAGTCGTCATCGTACTTCTGAGCCATCTTACTCACAGTTTCTGTGCGGGGTGCGTCCTCCAGATGGGACTTAGGAATTGGTTTGCAGCCGTCCATGACGTCCGTCGAGAGGAGCCACTTAAACTTTTCAAAATCACACTTACTCAGCTCCTCCAGAGTCTCCATGAGCAGCAGTTCAACCCCCATTTCTCCTCACTGAACGGACAGAGGATGAGCAATTAGTCATTGTCCAGAGTAGCCTTCAGGGTTAAAGGAATATTTCAACAATACTCTTGTTTTTTTTTAGTTGATGTTTGGTGAGATGAGAAGAATCTCTCATCTGTATTCGTGGTTTTACAGGGGTTTATGTGCTGAACCCAGGCTGCAACTACAATGGTTTTTATTATAGAATAATCTGCTGATTTTTTTTTGATTAATTGAATAATTTGTATCTATATAATTTCCAAAAATAGAGAGCAATGCCCATCACAATTTCCCAGAGCCCCAAATGACATATCGAATTAGCTGTCCCATAATGCAAGTTGACAGTAGTTTCGATTTTACAACCACCTTATTACATCATCAGGATGTTTTTTTCCTCCAACGTTTAACAACAGAAGGCATTATTACTGTTTTCAGAGGCTGAATAGCAGTAAACTGAACTTAATGTGTAAAATCAGTGGAGTGGCCGTTCAAGGTGCTTTATCCCGAAGGAGGAACCTGGCAACCAGAAAATGATCTACTACCGTGAATGGAGCCATTAATTACAATATGAAACTTCTATATAAAGGGTTACGAGAAAGTGGTACCAGAAATCCTTTGTAACATTAATGGATTTACCGCTGGATCTGTAGCTACATGATCTCGTCAACAAACAGATGAACGAACATGTCGAAAGGCCTCAACCTGTTTGGCTTAAACCCTTATAATAAACAAGGTTCATAAGCTCTTAGCTCTGAGGATCTAATGTGAGTACACACGTCGGGTTACAGATCGTGAAGCAGCTAACACGAGTCCATTTAACAAGTCGTTACACAGATGTGTGTGTGACAGCGCGATATAGCTACACGATATAATGACACTGTGAAAACAACCGGCATTAATGCCGCGGCAGACACATAATCAGTATACAACACAATCTGAGTCAGCAGGTCCGTCAGACTCGATCTCTACACACTTCTGTAAAGTGACTCTGTAAGTGTGGGACCAGCGCAGCAGCAAGACGCACCGACACCAGACCCAGACCCAGAACCCAAGCGCGAGAGCTGCCTTTTTATTGAAGGAGCCCTATAATCCAGAAACACTCACCGTGTCACCAACTGAACCACAGATAATGTAAAGAAAATGGCGCAAAATTGCAGGCTGGGTACTTTCGCTTCCAACCCATGTACAGGAAGTTTACGAAACTTGTAGGCCACAGCAGCTGGGTTCATACAAAACCACAGTACTGAAGCCCCAGTGGTGAGACACTCACAGAATGACAGCAGTTTTATTCTCTTAAAAGTCAGCCAATGAAAGATTATTAGACTTTACTTATATATAATAATTGTAATGTAAATGTAATAGTAAATAATAGTAAATGTAGATCCCCACTAGCAACTGTATTTTAACAGTAGCAACTACTCCTGGTCCACGTTAATGTAGTTTGTATTTATATTTTACTGCACATAATATTTAACATCACAGTGAGACTTGACAATACATTAAACACTAAGACAAAACCAACAAACAACATGACTCAAAGCCTGTCTATTACATAAGAGAGCTCTACATGATATTTATCACCTCTCAGACAGATGAAAAAAAAAAAAGTATTATATTATTTATTATGATATTGCAATTGCTTCAGTTGGAATAGTCATTTTTGCATTTCAAGTTCACAAAAAGAAAATCAAATTAAAATGATGGTGATGTGATTTTTGGTGGGGCTTAAAAGCAAGTTCCTTTATGTCTGTAGAATATGATTTACAAGCTGGAGCATCATGCCAATGCTTTATTTATGGTCTGTTGTGACACATTTTACCTTTATCAAAAGAAATTGCTGCTCTTATGATTTGAATATTGCAAATGGCCATATTGTGATTCTGATAATATTTGGATTAATTGTACAGCCCTGGTAAAAAATCAATTAACTGAACCCACTAAATCGCATGTAAAAGTGGGACAGATCGCTCTCTACATCCATATTACATCTTGAAGAAAAAAACAATATATTACAATTTTTTTTGTCACGATTTTGTGTGATAATTTTCTGAAATAAAGAAAAAACCTGATAATGTTTGTGTCATGTCACTGAGCTGATAGCTGTCATTGTCCAAAAGGGTCCAAAAGTGTGAGGCCATGAGAGTGCCGCCCACCCCACCCCCCGACACACACTCAGTCTTGCCCTCCATGCCTCAGCACTGCACTGCATCATTCTTGAACCTCCCTTCCTTCCTCTCTTGATATACCAACAGAGAACGCCCATGGTGGGTTTCATGGGCCAAAGCAAAGGAATCACTGATTATTCGTTTCAGCCACAAGTGCACACACACACACACACACACACACACACACACCCACACCCACGCACAAACACATACATACACACACACACTCCTATAAAAACACGAAGTAGTCAGTGTTTTCTCAGAAGTCTCAGACCGAGTTGCTGCCAGCGTCACACAGCAAGTACCGTGTGTTTCAGAGAGACGTCATATCAGCAGTCTGTGTTTTTGAACCGGGGAAACTGACTAAGGATGTTTGTTTGTGGTTGGCCAATCACGCTTCTGCTGTTTCGCCTTTTCGGCTCAGGTGAGTGAAATGTGACCTGGATGAGTGCTATGGACAGGTATGAAGATGGCACAGACTGCTCATTTAAATCAGTAAACCATTTCTTTTAGCTTGTGATGTTGCTGTTAGGGATGTACAGCGCTTGCTACCGTTCATCACAGATTGTGGATGTCAACATTGTTGAGCAGTTCAACCAAAGAGTGTTTTTGTTTTCCCTTTCAGATTGTGTTATTTTAGACATTTTTTATAAGACTAAAGAAACAGAAGTGTAAGCAGAGAGATGAGCAGGGATTGAGAGTCTGTGGACAGAGTATGTTGTAGAGTTTGTAAAGCCCTTTCAGACAAATATGTAACTCTGGGTTGTAGAAATTAACCTGACAAAATGAGAAAAATCTGAAAAAAACTAATAATTTTGAGGAGCAGAGATATATTTTCTTCTTCCTCTTCTGTCATTAACTGGGAAGGTTTAGTACAAAGTAACTAAAGTACTGTAGAATCTTGAAATACTTATACTTTTCCATTTTATGTCACCTCAACTCCACGGCACGTCAGAGGGAAATATTGTCCCTTTTATTCCACTACATTTCACTGACAGCCACCGTTGCTTTAAAAAAAAAAAAAAAAAAAGTCATCTTATAAAATTTGAATCATTGTCATGGATTATTTTTCCCATAACATTTGGCAGCCGTAACAAGCTCTTTAATTCTGTAGCTGGTGAAATGGTCAATCCTGCAAAAAGACATCATTTTGATACTTTAGGTGAATTTTGCTGCAGATTTTTCCAAACTTTTATTTAAGTTTGAATGCAGCTTTTGTTTTGTTCTTTTTAATGGTAGTGGAGTATTGTTTGATTGTAATGATGTTAGTTTTACATGAATAAAAGATGAGACATATGTGTGATTCCATCCTGACAGTTTGATTTTTGACAGACTTCTCACTCTATTGATGAGACAGACTGAAGAGACAGAACCTGGTAGGCGTCTCATTACACTCAGTTTGCAGAGTGGCATGTGGGAAACATAACTATAAATTTTGACAGCTGGTATGCTGACACACACACACACACACACCGGAGGGCTACTGTCAGTGAGATTGTCCGATAGGCAGAACAAGCACAGGATTCAGTGGAACAATGGTCACAGAAAAGAGAAGGGAGTCCTTTTGACTTGGGCAGGGTGTCCTTCCTTCCTCAGAGGAACACACTGGGTGTATTCAGGGCGCCACAAGACAATGGTTCACAACAGATCAGCTAAAAAGAGTATTATTTCACGAGATGGCAAAATTCAATTGACCCTTGGCTGTATTATGTTAAGGCAGGGGAAAATGACTCATAAGTTCATACAACTCTCTGCACCAAGATAAACATTTGGAGGGACATATTATTGTATTTCTCTAACTGGATTTAACACCACAAATACCTCAACATGTACTGATACGACCTTTAGGACCTTTAGCCTCCTTAAAGGGATAGTTTGGGTTACTTTACATGGGGTTGTGTGAGGTACTTATACATAGTCATTGTTTTACCTGCGGTGGATTCAGATAGGCCGCCGGGAGCACCAGCACAGAAGCTGAGTGATGTGCTGCTGCGGACGGGGCCATCTGTTGTACTGTGTTATCCTGCATTCAATGTTTACATATGACTTGTTTTTATATGACTTACTGTGTCTTTCTTCCTTTCCCCTCTCCCTGACCACTCCTGTGAAACCTCAGTTACCCCATCCCCTGTTTCCACTAACACACCCGCTCCACGTCTTCCATCGCAAATCTCACCCCCGTCACCCTTTCCATCAAATCTCCCACCTCTCCCTTCTTCTCTCACTATCCCTCCCCTCACCAGCAGCCCTGGGGAGCCAGGAGGAAGACCCCACTGCCCTCTGACGTTGTCACCCTCCACTCTGGTGGTCAGGTATGGCAAATAACTTATTACCTGTCAACCAAATTCCAAAAATATTTTCTTTTGTTCTCCTTTTCCGTATCTGTGTAACCACTGACTTGTGTGGGAAGTGTACTTTCCCCTGTTTCTGTGTAAATTTGTCACTAATTGCGTGTAAACTCTCCCATCACAGGTTTGAAGATCCATTCATGGCTAACTGCTCTGTATCAGAGATGGGTTTTTCTCTTCTGGGTTGGGAAGTCCCACTGGTAGGGGAATCAGTGTTGTTGAATGTATGACTTGAGTAATGTTAAAGGTCCCATATTCTACACTTTTTTGTTTTGTTTTGTTTTGAAGTTTTGATAACCTTAAGAAGATATATTTGTGGTTTTAAGAACCAAAAACAATCTCAGTGTAGTTTTTACATCTCCTCTCTCAGGCTTCTCTCTGGAGCTCTAGTAACAACAGGTCGGTGAGCCAATCAGAAGAGGTGGACGGGTCTTGGTACATGGCTGAGAGCAGTGACTGCTTTGTTATGACATCACAAAGTTTTTAGGCTCGTTTTCTGAATACAGGCTGTGTGCATTTCTCCGTGTGACTGAGCACTTTATACAATATGGGACCTTTAACATCTCCATCATGTCTTTGTCGACCCCCTGTTATTTAACTTTTCACCTTGCCACAGTGATGTACAGGCGTATGTTAGGACCCATGTGACATCACTTTTGGGGTGTAGTTACAAGTGCAGCAAACCGCACTCTGGCCACTCCCAGCACTGATCCTGGAGTTGGAGGGTGTGAAAACTTTAAGCCAGAGAAAGCAGTGATAGCCAACTGTTCAGCCTGGTTACCTGGTTACTCTAGCTGTCCTGCAACAAAACTTTTCTTGACATGAAGTCAGATGGGCTGATTCAACGCTATTGTCACATTCACACTGTAGTTATTGCTGATGTATTGGTCTGTATTGAAATGTCATGTCCACAGTGTATTAGCCCAGGCAGGGTCATTCCAGGCCAGATGGGACCCCTGGGTGTTCTGGGTGGATCCAGGTCCCCTCCCAGTTAGACGTGCTGAATATCTCCACAGGGATATTCTCAGTCACACCTACAAGGTTTTTCCATTGTTGCCTTAGCTAATCTATGAAGTGGCCCTATCTGGGACCACACCCAAAGACTCCAAGAATGCTGCACCTCCTGAACAACCACAAAGACACCCACAAAGTTTATTTCAGGGCTGTGGTGTGGGATTACACTGTTAAGGGGCCCCTAATAAGCGAGTAGGCCACCACCCAGATGATAACATCTATTGTAGTGAACAGAATGTCAATAGCTTTTTTTGTGACCTTTTGCAACTCCAGGCATCCCCTAGTGTCACTATGGATCGTTTTCTGGTCTGGCGCGTGGACAAGATGACTGAGTGGAACTTCACGTCTACATGCTATGCACTATCTGAACAGGGAGGACAATGCCAAATTAATCTCCCTGTAACAGTCTACAGTGAGTTTGTAATTTTATCTTTCTGACATGTTAGAACATGCATCAGGTCTGTTCTGTGTGGCTGATCTGTACATCTGTCTCCACAGAGCCTCCAGACCGCGTGTCCATCAGCTTTGTTGATCACTCTGGGCCGATGTTTGAGGGCCGTCACTACACTCTGCAGTGTGAAGTACAGGACGTTGCTCCCGTTCAAAACCTCACTGTGACCTTCTACAGAGGACACACAGCTCTGGGTCAACTACAGTCCAACGACACAGAGAGGACACCAGTGACTAAGATCTTCACTGTGGACATCATGCCCAGTAAAGAAGATGATGGAGTCCAGTACTGGTGTGAAGCCAAGCTGGAACTGGGACCTGAAGGACCGCAGCATCCTCCGGTGGAGACATCACAAAAACTCAATGCCACAGTCCTCTGTGAGTGAAACTGCCAGCGTTTGTCATTACATATTTCAAGTGTGTAATTTTTACCTATAAGAATTTCTCTCTTTCTCCCTCTACCTCTCTTGGGTCTCTTCACATCTTTAAAATCTCTATCCTTTTTTCAATCCATCACTTCCTCTCGCCCATTTCCTCGTGTTAAACATATCAACTGTCTTTTCCTCCACTCCCACCTGCGACGTTTCTTCTCTCTCAGTTGGTCCACACCTTATTTGTCCCACAAAACTGCAGGTGAGAGAGGGAGAGAGCGTCATCTTTGAGGTGAGAGGAAACCCTCAACCATCAGTCACCTGGTTCAGAGATGGGCAGGCGGTCGCCCTGCCCACTAACTCAAGCAGAAAGCATGCTGGGAAATACACAGTCTGGACAAAAGGACTGGGACAGAAAAACTTCACAGTGGAGGTGGAAGTCCTCGAAAACAGTGGTAGGTTTGTTTTATCTGCATTGTTAAAATAAAATTAACTAAAACACTCAATTTCCAACAGAAATAAACCAACAAAGAGTTCAAACTTGCAATCTACATTTTAAACTCCCATTATTCCAAACATTGAGATGTTTGATTTAAAATGTCTTCTGAGGCAAAGATTTAAGGTCTGCCAGCACTGATGGAATTAATTTGTCTCTCCCTCTTTCTAGGAACCACAAACAGCTGTAATATATTTTTCCTTCTGGCTGTCCTGTTTATTCAGACGATTAACCGGCTGTAGACCCTAAAAGAACCCAGCAAGGTCTGTGATTTGTCTCTCTGTGCTGTTTGGATGAACTGCTCCTGCTCCGAGAAATGTTTGGAGACTCACTGCTTTGTGTCTCTCCTCTTTACATCTTTACATTCAACCTTTCAAAAAAAACAAATAGGGAACAATGAAGTTCTCTGCTTGAGATCATCTGCCCAGGTACTTTCTTCTGCTGTCTCCATGTAATGCACAACACGTACATTTCAAGTCATCAAAAATCATTCTCATCTTGTACAACTTCATAATCCAACAGTCATACTAAGCATAGGTTTTACCTGCTTATTTGTCTGTAAATGTTGTTTATGAAATGTCTGAACCTTTGCTAAATGTTAGTGTTTGTCCCGTGTAAATGTGTGGCACTCTTCACTGAGGTCACGTTGTTTGCTGTACATTAAAATGAACTGTCATGCATCCAGCAGCACTACGTTCTTGCTTTAGACATGAACTCCCTGTAGTTACAAATATGTGCAACACTTTAGTGCAACATGTTTGAAAGTATGTGACTGAAACTTCAGACCTGCCGACACCACAACCAAAACACAGGTTACAAAAATGGCTATAGCATTTAATCTCTTTATTATTTATTCATTCAAAGTAAATCATTTACATTTCAAACAAAACAAATACTTTCAATTACAAGTCATAGCTAAAGGGTGGTTATCAGAAGTGATTCACTGAGTAGATTGGTCTCAGTTTTCAGATGAGATGTCGGGTCACTTGTCTACTCGTTGATAAAAGTGCACGAGTATTACTCTTTAGTTTCCTTGCATCTCCGATGACGTGCAACACGCCTTGAAATGATGAAGGTCACCAAATGTGGAAGATTATATAAATAAAATCTGCAAAATAAAGTCTACAAAACAAAACTGAATGCAACTGAACAAAGTTTTTTGGGTTGCACTTTAGCAAAAATACAATACTCTGCTGCTTTTTTGGGGGTTTTCTTTTTATCTTAAAAATGAGATTTGCAAAAACTGTCAAGACTGATGTCGTCATTATTAAATCCATCAGGGGAATTTTCTCAGAGTTTTAAACAGAAAGCCTGTGACATAAACTGGGGCTGTGAATGAGTGTAAAAATTATTGACCTTGGAAATAGAAGTTTGACACAATAATATTAAGCCAAGATCTACTGACTACCTTTTTTTCCTGAGCTTTCAGCCACATCTCTTGGTCTTCAGCACCACAGATGTCGGGTGGAATTTTTTGTTGTGGAGCGTGACAGTCAGGAATGGTCTAACTGAAAGATGCTCTTGGTTGCATTATAGGATCCAATGAGGGACTAAAGGTGAGGATAGTTTGACCTCTGCTGCTTCGATTATGATCATTCTTTTAATCTCTTTAGTCTCTTGTGAGCCAAAAAATAAATAAATAAAACTTGTAACTGTAAATCTGGACTGGGAGTGGTCATTGTATGATGATGTCCGAATCATCAGAAATGATCTCGATCTGGTCAGCATCCATGTGCCCGGCCAAGTTTCCTGTCTGCGATAGCTGCGGAAAAACAACCTGACATACCCCGCTCACTGGCAAACCGCTGACTGGGCTGGACTGAGGAGCTGGAGGAGGTGGAGGAAGACTTTTGGTGTCCACCTCAAAGCTCCAGTGCTGAACTGATCGTTTGTATTTTGCAACAGCTGCTGCTAGGAGCTCCTGAGAAACTCTTAGAGGTTGCTCTCGAGCCAGTGCTTGATCAGCAAGGAGATCCAGAAGTGAATGAGTCGGCGCGGATGTGGCGTTGACCCGAAGTTCGCCTCCTGACTCCGCAGGTGTAGAGGAACCAGCATCCACTGTCACTCCTCCTCCAATTTTACTCTCCATCTTTTTCAAGGCAGCTGCCTCCGTCCTCACCGCACCAAGTTGCATGGAATTGCAAATATTTGAGGTTACAATAAACACATCGTCCGTGTCTTGGGGGAGTTCTGCTTCCAGTGGCGGAGTTCCCTGGAGAACGTCTGACACTGTGGCACAAGCTCCTCCGACAGAGGACTGCTTCTTATCTGATCTGGCCTTCTTTACTCTGGGGACGCATGTGAGACAGTTTCAGTGATATTTGATGAGCTGTCAAATTAGTTGGCACTTTAACAGCATACAGAAATTCGTGCGAGTTACAAAATTAAACTTGTAGCTGGAACTGGACTGATTATTGTACTTACGGTAATGAGGTGAAGAGGCCTAATAATTTCCTGCTCTCCCTCATCAGTGCCCTAAAAAAGGAAACAATTAAAGAAAGGGCATGTCTGCATATACAATTAGGTGAAAAACTTTTGAATGCTTGAAAGACATTTCATGACTTAAGATGTAGGAGAGACGTACCAAGATTGCATCCACCCTTTTGGCCAAAGCGGTTTGACCTCACTGTCCAGCAGCATCTTGAGGTACTCCTCCATCTCCTGGCTGCCTTTCCTTTCATTTTTATATTTGTCCATCTTTGGCCGTAACACATGGCACAAGCACTCCCTGCATGAGAGAAAATATGACCAAATTTACACAAGGGAAAAGGCTCCAGGTTTCATTTTTCAAAGAAAGAATGTGTGTGCTAAAGTAGGTTACTTAATGTCCAGTTTCTGTCTGTTCATGTGTTCACACGTGATATTTGAAAAGATCTTATACTTCAGTGTGCTGGTCTTCATCATCTCTGACCTGATCTCCTCGTTCCATTTGAAAAACTTCTTAGGACCTCCTCTTTTCCCACCTCTCTCCTCCACATTGTCCTCTGTGCCGTCCTTCACATTCTGTTTGCCCTCATTCCCCTCTTCTGTTGCCCTGACATAGACAGAGGCACAGTTACTATTTCCAGTGAGGCCAGATTTTATTTCTTGTTCTTCTAATAACAGTTATAGACAGATAGAATAAGTAGTCTATTGTGATTAACAGCAGTGATGTTGTGACATCAAATTTAAAACAACCACTTCAGGCTTGGAACATATTTGACCTCTGACATTTGACTAAATTAAATTTAAGGAAAACAACCCTCTACATTGTTGTTTTTTTTAATATTGTTTAAATAAACTGTTTATTTGCACCCAGGTGAAAATAGTCACATGGCACCGATTCAGCTATTTACACCCGTATGGGACACCTAATGGCTCCCAAAGCGCCTTGTTTATTTTTTTTGCACTGTTACAAAATAGTGTACAGGACGCAAAATGTTGCAATGCATGTCCGTGTACCAAGTGCCAAACGCCGGGTGACATCTGCCGCTATCAGGTGCTTATTAAATGCCACCAGTGCAGAAAGACTTTAGGAAGTCAGGTGAGACAGTATAAAGAGCGACTCATGGGGAGAAGGTCGAGGTGGATGAATGGGTTAGCCACTGGACTTTCTCCAAGGAGACTGGGATTACACTCCTGTGTGAAATGAAAAGTTGATATTTATCTATTTTCAGACCTGGTTGACTTGTCTTGTTTTTATTATAATCAGTGTTTAGGTCAGTTTGGTCAGGTTTAGGCGACAAAACTATTTGGTTAGGTTAAAGAAAAATCTGCTTTGGATTAAAATAGACCTTTTCACAATGTTCACCACGTGTTAGAAAATGTGACTCACTGAAGAGGTGCAGAAGAGCCTTAAAATCCAGGCGTAAACAGCTACATTGGCTATCCACCCCAGGTGCACATAACATTGTTGGCTATGGACTATGGACGAATAGCATCTGTCATCATGTGAATAAGAAGAATCCCCCACCCCCCACCCACTCATCACCCAAGAGTTTATGCCACTGAACTTACTTTGAAGCCTTAACTTGTTCATATGCTTGGCAGTTTGCTTGGTAACAGGCGATCTGTTCAGGCATAGCTTTGCCGATGGCCTCCTTAAGTTTCTGTACGGGATCCTCCACGTCAGGGGGTTCCTTCTTCTCAGTGTCAGATTCAAGAAGTTAGTCGCATACAAACATAATACTTCCACCAATTCTGTAATAAAACAACTCAAAACGTTTAACTTCACTCACCATGTGCGTGAGAAATAGTCTCTTCACACGTTTGAAGAGCGCATCTCTGCTGCAGGGCAGGAATGATGACAGGTGTGTGTACACTTTGGAGCGCAACTGGCCACCCTGCTCCCGACACTGCAACTCAATACTGGACCGAGAAAGTCAGAGAGTTGACGTGTGCTGTTACACACTATGTTCAACATCACTATGGATGGCTCAAGCAAAGAACACACCACTGAAAGCCTGATGATGCACATGGGTCAGATTAATGGATGAGAGTAGCTCAGGGAGTTGAGCTGGTCATCAACTGATCACAGGTCTGGCAATTTGATCCATGAGAAAAACACTGCTTTTAATTAGCACTTCAATTATGTATGAAAGTGTGTGTGTGTGTGTATTAGTAAGCTTTGCACTCTCCCGAGGTTAAAGATGCTAATATAAGTACAATCAATTTACCATGACGACTGATTTCAGTATTGATCTAGAAACAAGGCCAGGATTCTGCAGCCATGCTAGGAGCTCCGTGAGGCTGAACTAACTAATGACAACGCTAACGTGCCGATGTTTAGCACATGTAATGTTTACCTTGTTCGTCGTCTTAGTTTCGTGAGTAAGCGTGCTAAATGTCAGTTTTGCAGGTACAGATCAAAGGTCGATGGATAACCAAAGTGATAACGTTTCATCCTGAGGGAGACATGAGTGTGTGAACCAAAAATCAAGGGAATTCGTTCAATAGAGAAAACAAAATTTGTAAAACTCGTCATCAAAGTCATTATGATGCATCGTCTACAAACCATGGATATCAAAATATCAAAAGGTCCTGCCTTTAATACTTTTAGCCACAGTATACAAACAATCAGCTGACATCTTCCTGGGGTGTCCAGGACTCGAGTATTCAAATATCTTGCCTTCAAGATTTATCTTGCTGAACCTAGATCAGTCTGAGGAAACAACATTTGATATTTACAAGTGGATTCAAGCTGTAGTTTAAACTGATTAATGACACAACTTAACAACCACATGCTTCTCCACAAGTGAAATCTGTTGTTAAAGTTGTTAAAAAGCACGATTTCTGGCATTTTGCAGTTGATCAGGGTTTTAAAAACAGGCTTCCACTGAGCTCCTGGATCAAGACAACATTTGCTCTGTCTGTGGTGTTGGATTACTCACTCTAGCAGGATTGAGTTGATTTCTGGAGTGAAGAACTTGAGTTTCGACCCTCCCTCCGAGGTCTTGGCAGCCTGAAAAATGAGTGTACATCATCTGTGTAGCCATCCTGCATTAGTGTATTGACACATGCACACAGACATCTTCATTTCAGCATATATAAGTAATAAAATTTAACCTTACTGCCACGAGTTTTCTAATGCTGTCCTCCAGTGCTGGGGTAAGTCCCTCCGGCAGCGGGGCGCACTGCTGAAGTGAGGTAGAGCCGGCCTCTGACAGGAGCTGGATTTGTTCTGGATGAGTCCTCTGCTCCAAATTAGTCTTTGTATTTGGAGGTTGGGCTTGAGTGAGAGTGTGATTATTTGTTTTGGGTTGGAAAAGCTGCGTCTCTGTGGCAGCTTGAGGAACCAGTTTTGGTGAAGAAGTCTCTTCGCTGGCATCTAATA